GGCTGCAGGGGCGCGGCGCGTGGCCGCCCCGGATGTTGATGCGCGGCGGCCGTGACGCGGCGCCGGCGGAAGCAGACGTGGCCGGCGGCAGGGGCCGGGGGCTCCGCGGCCGCCTCGGCGCCTCCCGAGCGGAGCGGAGCGGAGCGTGGGGCGCCATGGCGGCGCGGCGCGGCCCGGCGCCCGGCGCGCTGCTCTGCGCGCTCGTGGCGTGGGCGGCGGGCGCGGCGGGCGGCGGGCGGGCCGCGCCGCACCTCAGCGACGACATCCCCTTCAGGGTCAACTGGCCCGGCACCGAGCTCAGCCTGGTGGGTGCCGCGCCCAACGGCCGCCGCCAACGGCCGCGGGYGGGGGGACGAGGGGCAGTTACTAACCGTTAAGGGCACTGATATTTACAGGGCTGCGTTGTCCCCCCCCAGGGGCGATCAGTGCAGGCGCAGCCGGGGTCTGTTTCTGAAGGCCCCGTGGGACCGAGGCGGTTTGTCGCGGCGGGGTGCGCGGCGTAGCCGTTCCGAGCAGCGCCTCCAAGGCGAGCGCGCGGTTTCAGTGGYGGTGGCCAGGCGGGCCTGGGCTCGCGTGGGTCTGCGGCCGGCTCTGCTGCTGCCCTGCGAGGACAACACGTGTGCTGCCCAGCGCCCGGGGCTCTGGCTGCGTCAGAGCAGGACGCAGCCCTTGGCCTCCAGGTGTAAAACATGCAAAAGAAGAGAAGTTCCGCACAGGGTGGTTGGAAATCCTTGATTTGGAAATACGTGCCCTGGAGCGAGAGGATGAGCGCACATGACAGCGGGAATGTGGATGGAAATAGGAGCGAAACAAGGAAAGAAACCAAACAAGCGAATACCAGCAGAGCACTTTAAATGGCCAAACTATTCTTTTTGATATAATTAAAGCCAAATAAATGTTCTGGACCGCCTGCACCATCAGCCTGTATGAATTTTCCTGTTCGTGCATTTGGGATTGTTTTTAACAGGTATCACCTAAAAAAGAATCCGGACTAATTCAGAGGCTGTTTGTTTCCCTTAGCCCACAAGCGGTGTTCTGTACAAAGAGGATAACTTCATCATCATGACCACTGTGGATAAAGAAAAATATAAATGTATTCTTCCGCTCATATCCAGTGGCAATGAGGTAAGTTCAGTAGACATTTTTCATAATTGTAAGTCCCTACAACAACTTCTGTGTTTTTTTTTTCCTGAAATAACCTTTTTTTTTCCTTAAAATAGCCATTTTTTCCCCTATAAAAGGGAAAATCATCTACAGAGCAATGAACRCAATTTATATGCACGCGTTCATTTGGTTTTAGATATAGCTCTATACCAAGCGCAGCCCCTCTGAGCAGTCTGGAAGTGCTCATTTGTAACATATGGTTGCTCAGGTACACTATTAGTTGATAGGTTTGGCCATCCCCATCATGACGTTTCTTTCTGGAATGTCAGCAAAAAATCAACGCTGATTAAAAACTTGCTGTGTTTTAAATAGCATTGTCAAATTCTATGCCAATAAAGTTTCGTTCTCCTTCATCTTCTCCCGGAGTGGAAAACACTGAATGCACAACCCAGGGCTTGAGTTTTAAAGCATATGAACAGCTTTGCTTATACAGAAGAAAGTAGAGGAGGTCCGTCTTTGCTTTTGGAAATTCATGAGGATTATCCTTGGTCTTTAATGGTTCTTGTGTTCACACTGTGCAAAAAAAGGACTGCCCAGAGAGGCTGTCCCCCCACTAGTAGGGACCCCCCATTCTGACAGAGCCTTCCTCCTTGAGGTGGCTGACAGTACAGAGTACCTCCACATAGGTGAGAAACCTTCAGTTCTAAAGAACTTTACAGTGCATATTTTTTCAACAGCATATATATTTGCAGAGTAAAAAATATGCAGAAATCAACTTGTACAATATTATGTCTGCCTTTCTGATCCACTTTTTTTTTAACTCARTAAAAGCTGTATGGTATTCCAGTTGCACTGCATGAATACATTGAGGCTGATTACCAAATTAAAATTTTTTTGGATAATTTTCCTATTCGTGTCCCAAGCTGCCACTCTTGATATGAGCAAGTTGAGAACTACTACTCTTTTGGAATACATGTATGTCTTAAAAGCACAGATTTTTTTTTTCTGTTTTAACTCCTTGATTTGTAACTCTTATTTGGCCTTTCTTAACTAAATTATCTTCTAATCTCAACACAGTCCTTTCACGGCAGGAATTAATGAGTTTTTATGTCTTTAATTTTGCAATAAGTTTTTATTTATTTTAAATGAGTATTTACTACACATTTAATGTCTACTGCCTTTAATATTGATAAATTGAAATAATCGTTTTCTTCTAGGAAGAAGAGAAGGACTACAAAGGCCCTACTCCAGGAGAATTGTTGGAACCCCTTTTTAAGCAAAGTAGCTGTTCGTACAGAGTATGTTATTCCTACACCAATACTTGGCATGTTTATCACAAGTTTACAGCTCAGCTCATTTTAACATTCAAGGTTCAGTGTAGCTGACAACTGTGTAAATAAGGGTATTTCAGGTAGTAATTCAATCTGAAACAAATTTTCTACATCTTGATAATTTTATCTTAATGTTAGTGTAATAGTCTAAGTAGCGGGAGATCTTGGGATACAAAACAACAGGGTGATTGCAGTAGCAATTTACAAATAAGGATTTAAAATGTTTACTTTTAGGAGTCCAGCCCTAATATTTCACACAGTCTATAATGAAAAACATTCCTCAGAAAACATTAGAAKATCAAAACAGATGTGCTTCTAGATAACCAACTAACATCACTGTTTAAAAGTTCATTTCCTCAAACCTCTTCACAAACAAGTGGTTGTTGAGGACCAACAAGTGACAGAACCTTCAGATCTCTCGGGAGTCCTACAGGAGGGGAGGGAGGGTGAAGCCCAATTGATAAACAGTCCATATCTGCCCAGAGCGCAAAAGCAGTGTGTGCTGAGTCACCAGCTTAGCCCTAGTGGTAAAGAGAAAATTAGCTCAACCATTTTTTTCTTCTTTTTGCTGTGTTATGTCTGTGCAGAAATGAAAGAAATTTTGTCATTGGTGTTTATTTGGAACAAGTTAAAATCCTTAGGCAGCACTGAGGCCATTTGTTGTGCTACTGCATGTGAGGGTGTTTTTACCCACCTGCTTGGGCCAGATGTTTTTACTGCTAAAGCCAAAAGTTTTTGGAAAAATGCCTTTTTCTGGTAGTGTATATAAATTGAAAATGTCTTTTTTTTTTTTTTTTTTTTTTTCTCTTTCCCACCCCTTTTTTTCTTGAAGATTGAATCTTACTGGACTTACGAAGTCTGCCATGGAAAACATATCCGTCAATATCATGAAGAGAAAGAAACTGGTCAAGTAGGTTTCTTGCAATTTGATAATTTCAGTTCCCTTTTTGCTACTATATATCTGTTTAACTTTTCAAAAAGACTTGAAATCATATGCCCTTGAAAATGTATGGAAATGATAACTGAAATACTTTAACTTTTTTTTTTTTGATTGTAGAAAATAAACATCCAAGAATACTATCTTGGGAATATGATGATAAAGAACCCACTGTCAGAACCAGGTTTGTTTTAGTTTATTTTGTTGATGCTAAAGAATTATTTTGGCTTTAATTACTACATTCTCAGAAATGCGCTGGAACTTCTGTAGAAAACTATTTCTAATGTGAAAGGGTAGTGGAATTCTGTGGATTACTCTTTCTTCCAAAATCTATTTTCTGTTAATTCCTTTTCAGTGCCTCACATCACATCCATCCTGTCAGTTTTGCCATACTATATAAAATACAATAGCTAATTAGGGTCAGATAGAGAAAACATGTAGTATTAAAAAAAAAAAGAAAGAAAGAAAAAGAAAAAAAGAACTGATATTTGCTTGACATGACTGACTCTCTTTTTGAGTGGGGGGAAGTGTCTTTCAAGCTATAAGCAGGGCASAGAGAGCACAGCACATTCTGGGCTCTGCTATTCTCTAATAAAGCGTAGTGTACAAACCACAGCTTCATGGCTTTTGCAGATGAATTTGATCCTTGGAATTGCTTGAAAGACTTCAAGCACGGATCTGCAAAAATACTGAAGTGCCTGAAGTGGAAATTCAGTGAAATTTGGGCAGCTGAGCCCCAAGCTCATTTTCTAAGCACTTGCATTATTGCAGGTGCTGGGAGTTCTGTTTGTACCGGCCAAYACCTGCCTCCCTGCTACACAGGGCTGAGCACTTTGGCATTACATTAGTCCAAAGAACTCTAAAAATCCACAAATTCAGTGCCCATCATCAGATTAAGTAGAAACAATAGAAAATACATCAGCATTGAGTAGTTTTTTAAATTCTGAGCTGGTTTGTAAAAAAGTGGATGCCACTATTTTCCTCCTCCTAAAAATGATAGCTTAAGTGCCTATGACCTAGGAAGATTTCAGAGCTATAAACTCCCTGTCTTTGAATGGCTGCCTGCAGCCTTCASTTAGGTGTCTTTCTTCTGAACAGAGAGTTTTAGAAACGTTGCATTTTTTGGCACTGATTATCGAGTTAGAGTGTTTGTACTGTTACTAATCCTGTGCAGAAGTGCCTATTTTTCCCTAGCTGCTGCTGTACAGAAAACAGATATGCAGTTTTTACGACTCTTTTCTTGGGGGCTAGATGCTAGAAAATTGCATGTAGTGATAATTCAGATCATCATATCCAAGACTTTCAGGATGCTGGCCCTCTGTCCTTTCTGCTTGGGTGGCAGATTTTACTCTTTGTGTGCTTCCTATACAGCTACAATTGATGCTACTTCTCTTAAAAATTCAAATAGATTGTGAGATGAGTCCACAGTAAGCTTGGAACTACTGAAGAGGAGACAGAACTGCCTTTCTCTCCATTCTTTCACTCTGAGTGGGATCCAGACTATGTCCTGAAACAGCTGAGATTGCTAAGGAGAGCTTTAACCTCTGCCAACCTGTGACTCCCCTAGTACTGATGTTTACTCTCCTGATCACCCTTGTGCCATGCACCCTCGCCTAACTTCTTCCTCCAGCTCGTGTAGCTGCTGAGACTAGGGGGTGGGCTGAAGTACTTACCTGCTTGTTACTGTCCTGGCCTATAATTCACACACTGTGAAAGCAGCAGTCAGCTTGCCCTCAAACAGCAGCAGTAATGACATATTATTCTGGCCTATATGACCTTACTGTTGTTCTAGGGCTGAATTTGGCCTGTCTGACAAACTCATAAAATTGTCTCAAGATGCTGACTCGCATTTTGTTCTGTTTGCTCTGAATCCCAGATCACTGGGTTTGGGTTTTTTCTTTTTTTTTTCCTTTCTTTCCTCTTTTTCTTTCCTCTTTCACCACCTGCACGTTGGTGAAATGGACTCTGACAGCTTATGAAAAGAATACTAGCAAATACACAAAACATACAAACTTCTCTGTGTATATACTTTCATTTTATTTCAAGTTCRAAACGTTATGCTTACCTCGTTCTTAATTATTCCCTAGATCAAGAAGAAAAGGAAAATCCAAAAGAGAGTGCAAAAGAGGCAAGTGAAAAACATCTATTTTAATTTTTGCCATCAATAGTAGGGACAATTTAAATATGATGACATTAAATAATTAGTGCCCTACTAAAATTAGTATCAGTAAATGAAATTGCTTTCCTGAGCTGCACTCTTCTCACTTTTGATTATCAGTCCTACCTCAAAAAGCTTATTTATCTGTTATATCGAGTTTTGTGTCCTTCCAGTTATTGGACTTCAAAGCTGTTCAAATCTTAAGCTTGAAAGAGAAAGAATTACTCTTCCACTCTGAAAACAATACGCACACAAACACCAAGTTCCATTACAGCAGCATTTTTCTAGCTACATCACAGATGCAGCTAGAGATTCCTTTAGTCAGAGGAGATTCCTTTAATGGTAGCTGCATGCATTTGGGGTAAGAAGAAACGCTTAACAAACCCTTACAGCACTAGTCTTGCTGAATTCCCAATGACTTGTTGGCCCATCCCATAAAACTCTGTGCTACCCTTTTCTATGAGAGAACTTTTGTATTTGGTTAGGGCCAAAAACTCTATTCTGAGTTACTTTTTATAATGGACTACCTAAATATTTGAAGTTCAGAACTAGCAACAACAGAACTGACCTGGGAAAAAAACATATACCTACCTTATTTCCAGTTGTCTTTCATGTTAATTGCTGAAATCGGATTCTGTCTGCATGTTCTTTGTGGTACCAACTTACATAGCAGAGTGGTTCCTGTTTTTTGGTGGATCTCAGAAAACAGATGTTCTTGGTATGCATTTGGGAGGTAGTTTCAGAATAAGCTAAATCTTTTCCTAACTTTTTCAGCAGTTCTTATGATGTTCATAGACTATCTTCAGTCTACAAAGAATTTCAATTTGCAATTTTAGTGGAATCTGTAGCCATGAAAGGGAGAAGGCAGACAACACAGGAAGGATTTACTTAAAGTAACCAAAAAGAACCACTGAGGCTGAGGTTTTATCTGAAATCCTACACAGGGGCCTTTCAGTTGGGTGCAGACAATAACTGTCTACTCTTGCGTGTCTTCAGTGAGATGCTTGGGCAGTCTTTCAGAATTTAAGGAGAAATTGCGCCTTCTGAAGGGAAGGGAGGGCATTGGCACCCCTTTTACCAGCCAGTTTGAACACAGTCAGAACATAGAGTCAATTCCCAGCTTTGAATATTCAGGGATAGAACAGAGGGACACTGGAGGCAAAGGGTGCCTAAACAATTAACTTACTGTCATGTTCATTCTTTCACCTCATAAATATCATWCCCCTTCATTCAGTCATGGTGAACAGTTTCAGTTGGACACAGTCAATGGCCTATGACAAGATTAACATGTGTTTGATAACAGAGGGAGGGGAGACAGAAAAGATCACAAGTCTCCKGGGTTGGTGTCGTGAGCGTGGATGGCGGCACCAGCACCTAGCACAGCGCCTGGTCTCTAGTGCGCTGACACCATTCACCTGCTGGAACCACGTGGGGCGAGAAAAGTGTCTCCTGTGGATTCCAACATGGCTTTTGCATAAGCAGAACTTGGGTACCCAGGAACTTCAGCAGCACTCAGGATAGGAACCGGGAGAGGGCGGAATTGATCAGTTTAAMGAGTCAATCTTCCAAAGTGAAGATCGTTCTAAACTTGAACACATAAATCCGATTATGACTCCAGCTTCTCGTGCCCTTAATATTCTGTCTGCACAAAAAATAGATGGCATGATTATGCACCACTAGTAATTGTATTCACAAGCCATTARTGAGCTGCTACATTTCTATTGGAAAAGCATTTTTAAAGATGAAGAAATAAGTCTGAAGAGATATTATTTAAAATACATACAAAATGAAGGAAATGGAAGGAAAGGTTTTTACCTGGGGTATGTGAAGTACCTTTACTTTAGAAAGCTTTCTTTAAAAAAAGTATTGTAGATGAAGATTTCAAACTTCATCAGGTAGGATTTACTTTGTATGTATTGTTACTTTGTATGTATTGTGAACTTTCTGTTAGAGGAGGTAAGGGGTGGCTGAAATGCTCTGCGCAGGGGTGAACGCAGACTATCTGGTACGGGGTGCGGTGCAGAGACCTGACCAGCACTGCCCGGTGCCGTGGTCTCCAGGACCTGGCACTGCAGTGAAGGCAACGTGCTCGGCCAGACCTTGGCTGAGCCTGGCAGAGCTCCTCCTGTGTGTCTCCTGGGCTGCAGCTCTGAAAAACGTAGCACTTGGCTGGCAAGATTTCTTAGAATTGAAACACGGGGCAACCTATAGAGGCTGCAGCTGCTTTTGCTACCAGACGTGGCTGCGCTTTGCGGTCCAGCCTCGGGTGGCTTGGTGCATTTGTGCAGTGCTCTGCTGGAGGCAATGAACCAGAACCTGCCTGGCTGCAGCAAGAGGCAAGGAACCTTATTGTGACCCTTAACTTTGGTTTTCTTTCACCTAGATACCTACAAAAAATATAGAAGGGCAGATGACCCCGTACTACCCTGTAGAAATGGGAAACGGCACTCCTTGCAGCTTGCGACAGAACCTGCCCCGATCCAGCACGGTGATGTACATCTGCCACCCAGAGGCTAAGCACGAGATCCTCTCCGTAGCCGAAATCACCACCTGTGAATATGAAGTGGTTATACTGACCCCTCTGCTTTGCAGCCATCCTAAATACAGGTACGGTACCCAAATCTTGGCTAACACTGGGACTCCACATTTTCATCAACCCTGCATGCGTGCCTCTATACAAGTCTTTTGTCCAGCTGTGGTTTCTTGTACAAAACTTTCTAGACATTCTCTGTACAAGAAAAAAAGATAGACGCTACTCAGTCCAATGGATATTTGTAGTGATTGTAATAAAAAACTCTAAAACATAAGATTTTAGCAGAGGCTTCTGAGCTACTAAGCAGTAGTGAGAGTGTGCTGGCATACCTGTGTAAACAACAGTAATAAGTTCTAAGGAACGTAAGTGATATATCCCTAACTTGTTTGGACAGGTTCAGGGCTTCCCCTGTGAATGACATCTTTTGCCAGTCACTACCAGGATCCCCACTTAAACCCCATAACCTGGAACAGCTGGAGAAACAGCAAGAATTGATGAAGATGCCTTTTAGAAGAGTTAAGGAGGTAGGATTTCTTTTCTTTTTTTTCTTTTCTTTTTTTTTTTTTTCAGGAAAATAATATTTTCCATGTTTCAATATGTTTAACTTCAATTTCAGTGGAATTATTCACAACTTCTTCCCAACCATCTAAGACCCTATCAGTCTTTCAAATTGTCTTTATAAGTTTGTTGAAAACATCTATAAGTTACCCTAGTTAGAAGAAAAATAAATCAGTTAAGTTTTAAACTAGAAGCTCAAACTTAAAGCCTCCTTAGCCTACTAGTTTACTAAGCCTATAGGTTTTTGACCTTCCAGCTTTTTTCAACTATCCTGAAGACTGTGMAAAAAGCACTGACAAAATATTTTATAGTTTTTCCCACAGCCTACCACTTTTATGGTCTATAAGAAGTTATGTAATATTAGATTTAGCAAGGGGCATATAAAGTCTTAAATGGGCATATTTATGTATATTCTAATTTCAGGAAGAAATGCATTCAACAAAAGAAGAGAAGTTTTCTTCCATCCATAAACCAGTTGCTGTTGGAAACCACCAACTCTTGACTGTGGGAACAACCCATATCTCCAAACTGACTGATGACCAACTTATAAAGGAGTTTCTTAGTGGTTCCTACTGCTTCCATGGGGTAAGAAGTAAATGTATGTGCAGTAAAATAGCTACTTTTTACTTATACATACTTTTTTTATATAATTCTTAATTTTTCATGAACTTTGATYGTTGAAATTTTGTCCTCAGCAGAGACCTGCTTTGTTTCTCATTAACAAAACAGGTATTTTTCCTTAAAAAAAAAAAAATACTAGTAATTTTAGCTATAAGTGAAAATATGATTTAATTTTACTCTGTTCTTGTGGGTCTTTTACCTAGTTCTGGATATTACCTTTTGTTCACTTGGTTGCTTCCAAACTCACTTCTCTGACAGTGTTGCATTGTGCTCATTGTGCCCCATTCTCAGGTATCTATAGGGTCTGTCTTTGTGTTTTTGTCTCTCTTCCCCACTAAATGCTCTCATTCTGCTGTGTGTTGGAGGAGAAATTTATTTGGGACATAAACCAATTTCACAGTGGCCAGAAGCATGGAAAGTAGGAGCTTAATATTTGTAAATGATATTTCTGTGACTTTCAAATGCCTCATAGTTCATTCTTGCCTAGCCTCATAGTTAATTCTTGCCTGGCCATGCTGGGTGAAATACAAAACTGAAGTCTTTTACTATTAGAGAATAGCACTGGAGCTTTCATTGCACAAGCCAAATCAACTTCCATGTTTTAACAGCATTATTTACAAGCATAATAGCTGCCTTTCTTCTTCCTGATACAGGGAAGACTTATGTACTTGTAAGTTTAGGCTATTAAATTTACTGAAAGGTATCTTYAGTCTTTTTGTTACAACTTCCTTGAATAATAGATAATGAAAACTGTTCTGCACTAATGTTGTTAATAAGAAGAATAATCTGAGAAAATTCAGCAAACTATAAAGGGAGGAAGCAGTTAGGACAGTGCATTAAAAARGGAGATTTACTTAAGGAAGCTCGGAGAACAGCCGAGGCTGATGTTTTACCTGTCTTTGAAAGGACAAAACACGTTGTAAAAACCATAAAGTGGGAGGACACATACAGCTTTTACAGAAAGCTGTAGATCTTCAAGATCAATCAGKCCATATAAAAATGAGATTCTCTTTACTTAACCTCATCTATTCCATCTCTTGCCTGTATCAATTAGTCTAATAAGAGATTTATGTCCAGTGCAGTGCTTGAACCCTGTATCTGACTCCTGGAGATGCAGTTTTCAGCGATAATACTTGGTGATTTAGGGTCAGGAAGAAAGCTGGGCCTGTGTGTTTTGGGGGTCGGGTATTTTGTTTGGGCCTTTTTTGTGCTAACTGAACTGATTTCTCTCCTTAGGGGGTTGGTTGGTGGAAGTACGAGTTCTGCTATGGCAAATACGTGCACCAGTACCACGAGGTGAGCTCAGTGTTTGACATTCTGCCGCTAGATGGCTACAGCTCCTCTCATTGAACCCAAAGGCCTGTAGTAAGAGTGAGGGGGTTTTTGTGTTTTGTTTTGTTTTGTTTTTTAAGTGGAGGCAGTGGAAATACATTTGTAAAAACAACCCAAACCAGGAGCTGTTTTGCTCCTTGGAACACATGTCTAACTGCACAGCCACAGAGGCTGTTGTGAAAAGACAGTCAAACTAAGGCTTGATCCTTCATGCAAGCTCACTCATACTGTGCTGAGCCAAATGCAAGAACAGGGTACTGCAGCCAGTAGAAGACTTGCTCTGAAGTGACAAGCCACCTGTCATTGCAGCTTCCTCACCGTTAAACTGGGGATACAGGGCAATCACCAGCTTTTCCTCTCTTAGGATAAGGAAAGCGGGAAGACCTCTGTGGTTGTGGGTACGTGGAACAGGGAGGAGCACATCGAGTGGTCCAAGAAGAACGCGGCCAGGACCTACTATCTCCGAGAAGACGGCACGCAGACAGTTAGGTAGGGCTGCAGGCACCTGAGCCCGTGGGCTCCTGGACTGGTCCCTTCCTAGCAAGGGGGAGGAGAAGAGGAAGTACGGGAGGCTCTTCTGCATTTGTGAATACTCATTTTACTAATTGATAAACTATTAAGAGAAGATGATACAGATTTCCCCCCAGTAGACATAGAACATCCAAAAAGATCATTGAACACTTTGGATATGACACAAAKAAATCTTCCAACAGTGAACAATGATCTGCTTCTATGGTAATTTAAATACAATATATTGCTTTTGGGTTCTGTACATGGGAGTTAAATCTGGAGAATTATGAGCTATTATGCAGCTTAGCTGTGTATTTAAGACTTTAATTTTTAAGACTCTCACGTTTAATATTTCCACACTTTCTCATTCCAAACTTTTTTGGCAGGATGGTGTCTCATTTCTATGGAAACGGAGATGTGTGTGACTTAACAGACAAGCCAAGGCAGGTGACTGTGAAGTTGAAGTAAGTTAACCTTCTATATAAATGTACATTTCATCTCAGACCTACGTTTCCTCTCTGCTTCATATGTCTGAGGAGGAAGCCTTGGCTGTCTTTTTCATACAGCTCAGAAAGCATTCCCTGAGCTTTGCAAAAATGCTATAGATACCAGCAAAATCCATAGTTTAGTCTTGTGCTTTTCAGTAGCAAATTGAGTCTTTTCTCTTTGTTTTCCTTTTCAGATGTAAAGAATCTGATTCCCCGCATGCTGTAACCATATACATGTTAGAGCCTCATTCTTGCCAATACATTCTTGGGGTACGTAAACCCACTTGGACTCCCTCAGACCAGGTGTTGCCTAGCAGAGCACGTCTCAAGGTGCCTGGCACACGTTACATGGAAAGTGTGTGACCAGGTTTGACTTTAGCCTGTATTTGTGGCAGCCAAAGAATAAAAACAAAGGTTTGGGTTGAATTTGACAAGAGGAAGAGATTGTTCTACTAAAGTGAGAGCCTTTATATCTACTAGCTCTGGCAGGGCTGGTAGTGTTAATGCAACGCTGGCAAGGGAATGTAGAAATCACGGATGAAGACATGGTAGGTTTTTCAGACACACTTAAGAAGGTTCATTTAAGTGTCGTTAAATCTTACTAAGCTGTTGTCCTATAATCACCTCTGTGTTCCTACTATATCTCTCATCTATTTTGTTTAAATTATTTTTAAAGACTGTGCACAAAAGATTTTTGTCGTATATTTTAGTCCTAATACATAGTYGCTAAACAAATACAGCTTTTTCTTCAATTGCATTTGCTTAATAAAAGGAGGGTTATTATTAATTACACTGGTCATATGCTACAGAAATAAAAGTAGAAATTACCGCTTTTGCAAAGCGATGCTAAAAACTCCGCTTGTTGTGATCTACTGAAATGATTCTCTTGCAAACCTCTGCTGCATTGTTGTTTTTTGTTTTTTTTTTTTTGTAAAAGCTTGTCAATACTTTTAGTTTTTAACATTTTGACCTTTCATGTTCAAGGTGGAGTCTCCAGTCATCTGTAAGATTCTGGATACAGCAGATGAATATGGGCTCCTGTCGGTGCCCAGCTAGAGAGCAGCGAGAGCCGTGAGGGAAGGCAGAGAGGCAGCAGCGCCGCGGCCCTGCTCCCCGCCAGCGCCGTCCTGCGAGGCACCGCCGCAAAGCCAAGCTGCAGGCAACCAACCTCACACCAGCAGGACTCTGTCAGAKGGGGACTCGTGAACCACTTTGTGTATAACTATGTGTATATAAGAGGTTATTGATAAACTTTTAACAATTAAAATCCTGTCTTGCACTTCCTGTTTGACTTGTGTATGAGGAGTTCTGACACCGTCGCCCTTATTGAGGTGTAAATTATCACTCTGGAGACGCAGACAAGACCCAGCTTCATGTGACAAGTTCAGCTGCCAGCAGCAAGGACGGAAGAGGGAAACCACGTTCTGCTCAAGAGCCTTCAGCAGCCACTAGAAGACCACGAGTTGTTCCAACACAAACGCTGCATCATTTTGACCATTTGCAACTGATTTATGGCACAGGCCCTTCCTGTTACCCTGCTTTCCCCGCCCCGCTGTTATCCCTTTTCCAGCCCGGGTGGCTTTTCAGGACCTGTTTTTACTTATAGGTACCTATGCCGGAGCGTTCATTTGAATATATTTATTTTGCTTAACAGCAGTCACTCATTCCCTTTTTGCATGGGAGGAAGCTCAGGTTATAATATTTGTGATCTATAATCTTAACACTTCTGTGTCAACACTAGGCCTGTTTCAACGCCCTGACTTGTGTGTGTTCAGCAGTGTGTTCTGCAGCTGTCTGACTTGCTGCTTTTTCAGTGACAAAATCTCAGTACATGCACCTATCTTCCACCTGGACAACACCAGAACGGAGGTCTGGTTTCCTCCGACGTGTCTACCTTACACATAAGGGTCTGGGTTTGGGGAGGGGGCAGGTGTCATTGTTTGCTTTGTTTTTTTCTGCACAGGCAAATGAGTTTGTCTCATTTTTTTACCATTTTTTTACATATTCCTAAATGGAAGCTGAAGGACTGGATATCTGAAGTATGATATAACCACAGGATCTAAARTGCATTTCTGTAAACAACATTTTTCCAAGGGGAGGTTAAAAAAGTACATGCTTGAACTGGTGCTTTCTGGCCAACCTGCCCTCAAGGATTTTATCCCGGGGGGGAGCACTGGAGGCCTGGCACCCACTTGGGTTCCCTTTCCAAGCCACTATCTAACTCAGACCCTGACCATCGTGARCAAGACAAGATTACCCGTGTGTCCTTCAGGTTGATGTACCCTGTTCTAATTACACACTGGAAAAAGAAATAGCAGACTTTTGCTGCAAGAGAACTTAGCAAGTATTTCCATATGCCTAATCCTGCCTTAAGTTCCATCACCATGAGCTAGGCAATTCTGCGAAAAGCCTGAGCTAGGATGATTATACTGGGAGTGAGCAAAATCTGGGCACTATTTCAGTCTGTAGCAACTGTGTGTGCTCAGTGTCCTAATTACTGCTCCTTGTCGGTAAGGCAGCTGCACGTTTCCTCTTTCCTAGAGCTCTTGTGCAAGGGGTAGGCGTTTCATGTCTGATGTCACACAGAAATTTGCCAACCATTTGGCATATGACTAGCTGAATGTCACCCACAATACCAAGTTAAGCTGCTAGACGGCTGAAATGTAAGAGCTAATTTTGCTATATCCTGTATAGTAGGAAAAAACAGCAGCAGCAAGATGATAGGATGGTATGACATACAAATTCTGAGTCATTATTCCTGCTCTTATCTGTACCTTAATGGTCTAGCAATAGGTCAACATAGACTAGGAAATGAGAGCATCTTCTACACAGATTTTTTTTTCCCAATCTTCTTCTGAAGTTTGTGGGAAAAGCAAAAAGATGCTTGAATTCTAATCCTATGTTTTCACCAGCAGCATTTAGAAAAGGCACAAGGAGCAATGTTCTCCCAAATTAAACATCTAACCTCGTTTCTCTAAMATTCTTTTATTTGCCTCCATAATTACCCGGACCAACTTCTCACTAAGTCTCCCTGAGTTCTGTCTACCTCAGACAGAACTGAGGTGGGTCCTGAGTTGGGTCCTGGCTGCAGACCAGTCTGTCTTTGGCCCAGACAAAGAATTTGCTGCACTATCAGTTTATAAACTCTACGTTAAGCAGCAAGCAGAGAGCCCTTCAGAAAGCA